CGTCCTGCGGCGGTCCCCGCTCAGTGTCCTCTCTCCGCAGCTGGCGGGGGGCAGCCTGGGGGGGCTGCTGGAGGCGCTGGACTCCATGGGGCTCCACAAGGCTGTGAGGATGCTCCACAAAACTGAGACGCTGGAGAAACTGCAGAGCACAGGTATGGAGAGCAAGGGGCTGGGTGGGGGGGGGGTCCCCCACTGGTCCGTGACCCCCCCTCACTGACAGCACCCGGGGTTTGCTTTACAGAGCTGAAGGAAGACAGTGCCTACGGCAGCGAGTCGGTGGAGGAGGAGCAGGCGCCCACGCTGGCCCTGAAGCCGGGGCCGGGGGGCGAGCTGCCCCACAGCCAGCAGCCACAAGTGCACTGAGGGGCCGGCAGCCCCCACACCCACCCAGGGAGGGTGGGGGGGAGGCGCAGCATCCCCTATCCTGCTCTGCCCACGCAAGTGCCTTCTGGACTTGGGGTCCGGCTGCCTGGACTCGGGGGGATGGGACGCAGCCAGCTCCTGCCCCTCTGCTCTTATTTAATGGTCCCTCTTCTGAATAAAGGGACGTGGTTTCCATTAGCCTTTGCCCTCCGTCTCTCCAGTCCTGGCCCTGAGCTGGTGTCGGGGGGATGGGACGCAGCCAGCTCCTGCCCCTCTGCTCTTATTTAATGGTCCCTCTTCTGAATAAAGGGACGCAGTTTCCATTAGCCTTTGCCCTCCGTCTCTCCAGTCCTGGCCCTGAGCTGGTGGGCAGTAACCCCCCCGAGCCCTTCCTGGAGCTGGGAGTCCAGCAGCAAGGAGGCAGCTGCCAGCCCCTCCTCAGCATCCCTCCGTGCCAGGGCGGTCCCCAACCGTGGGGGAGAAACCACAGCGCACACAAGAAGTGAAGAGCGAGTTTTACTTCAGTAACCGAGAGAAGAAGCTGTACAAAGGTTTTTCTCCCCCCCCCAAGCCACTTGGGGCAAGGGTGGATATTTTTTTTCCTTTTTTTCTTTTTTTTTTTTTTTTTTGCAATAGACTCAAAAGAGCAGAATAAAAAGTTTGACACATTCGCAAAGTCAGTGCTGAAACCAGCCAGGTCCTGGGTGGCTGAGAACAGCGCGTGTGCCAGCCCCCCACCCGCAGCCCTTCTGCCGTCCCTGGACACCCCTCCCTGCGCCCCATGGGCACTCCTGTGGCCACACTCCACCACCGGCACTTTGCTCTGAACGAGCATCCACCACCCCACCAGGTGGTGGGGGCTGCCCCAGCCTGCCCCTCACCTTGGCAAGGAGGGAGCCCATGGCCGAGGAAGGGGCTGCACCACTGCTGCAGCACGAGGACCTCGCAGCGCTGCGGACCGGGTTTTGCCAGGCCCCCGCCATGCACTGAAGAAACAGTATGGAAAGGAAAGTTGGCTCTAGCCCCATAGGGCACCGAGGACCCCTAAGTCAACCCTGGCTTCAGGGGGTCACCTCCCCCCTGGGAGTACTTACATGCTGCTGCCCAGCATGGCCTGGGTACAATGCTCACACCCAGGAGGTGCAAATGGGGCCGATCCAGGATGCTGGGGGAGCTCACGAAGCACTGGCACACCAATCCCCTGTGCAGCCACAAGTGCTGCCATCTCAAGGCCACCTCCTTGGTGCCAACAGCCGCACGGCTGTCTCTCTCCAAAGGGTTGCTGGTGCCAGAGCAGGGCTGGGGGACAGGCAGTAGCCCATGGTCAGCTTGCTGGGGGGTTGGGAAAGGTCTCCCCCTGAGTCTGTGTAAAAGCCTTCTTCCCCCAGAGGTCAGTGCCTACCGGACATGGCTGGGTTTGTGGTTTCGTTTGTTTTTTTGAAACAGTTCCCAAAAAGCATCAAAAGTAGCCCCAAAAAACCCTCCCTGGTGGTCGGCTCGATCTGGTACTAAAAAGTGCAAAACTGTATCACAAAAACCGTTCAAAAGTTGTAAGAAAGCAGGGAGGGTGCAGAGGTGGCTGGGGTGGCGGCGAAGGGGCCACATGCCGTCGCCCTGGCTCCCCTGGCCACCAGCCCCAGGAAAGGGGACAGGCCAGGGGCTGGCCCCCTCATGTCCGCCCCCCCATGGCACAATGGAGCTGGAGAAAAAGCGGCCGCTGGCTTTGTTTTGCTGCATTTTTGTCTTTGTTTTTTTAACAACTGAAGAATTGAGCCCAGTAGGTGGGTTTCGGTCATTCCCCCTCCCTGGGGCAGGGGGACTGGGTCCTACAGCCAAGTGCAGGACAAGGAGGGGGATGAACAAGTCTGATGGGGCCGACAGTGCGGGCAGCTCCCGCAGGCAAGGACCGGGGGACTGTCCTGCTCTGCCACCGTCTCCGGCGGAGGGGCTGCGGCCCTGCCTTGCTGGTGCTGGTGGCTGGGAAAGAGCTGTCACCTCCCCAGCTCGTGCCGCAGATGGACGGACTCATGCAGGGTCTGCATCTCTGTGCTGCACGGCCTCCACCCCAGCGCCGGGGAGCAGGAACGGAGCTGCAGCACGGGCGGCTGATGCCCCTTGCTTACGACTTCTGGGGGTGGCCAGGGGGCTGGCGGCCGGCGCGCTCCGAGACGTTGCGCTTCACCTTGGTGGCCGTGCCGGAGGGCTCTGTGTTGAGTGAGGGGCTGGAGCGGGATTTTTTCAGGCCATCGTCCTCCCCACTCGCTGCGTCAAAGAGGGTGGACTCGAACGCTGCCAGGTCCTCGGAGCCAGCCTTCAGCTTGGCCCGCAGCAGCATGGCATAGGTGCCGTAGCGGGATTTCTGGAGGGGCACAGTGCAGCAGAGAGAGGGGTTGGTGAGCAGGGCACTGCCAGCATCTCGGGATGAG